TCACTATGCTGATGAGGTTGGCCTCAAATATTCAGGGATTCTCCTGCCTCTGTGTCCCAAATGCTAGAATTACAGATGTGAATCACAGACCTGGCTTTCAAGTGTTTTATTGATTAGGCTGGTAATCACTATCTAGTGTTCATTCATGCTTTGTAGGGGAGGTCCACCAGTGACAAATTCCTTCAGTTTCTGTTGATCTTAGAATACCTTCCTTACGTTCTCCTTCATTAAAAAATCAATGTAATATTTTTACTAATTCTCTGAGAATATTATACATGTATTTTGATCATATTCAATCATTCCTCTTGCCCTTAAGGTCTTCCAGATTAATCCCTACTCATCTCCTAACTTAATGTCCTCTTTAAAAACATGACTATCCTTACCCTAGCATCCATCAGCTATCAGTAGCTCTATCATTAGGGGTGGGGGCTTGTGAGGTGCTCCAGCTTCATGCCAGAATGTTGATAGGCTTGATCTTGTGTAAGCAGTCACTGCCACTGTGAGTCATGACTACAACATCCCTGTTACATTCAGAAGATACTGTTTTGCTTGAGTACTACCTAACCTCTGGATCTTACAGTCTTTCCACCTCTTCTTCCTTAATGTTTCCTGAGCCTTGGGGGTTGGAGGTGTGATACAGATTGCCCGTTTGTGAGTTAGCATTCCACAGTACTCTGACTAGTGAGTTTCTGTTTTAACCACCATCCACTGCACAAAAATCTTTTCAGAGGTATCTGATTTTCTCATTCATTTTTGAAGGACCATTTGGCTCTTTGGTCTTAGATGCCAACTCTTCCATACTTTGACTATATCATCCCACTGTCATTTGGCCTTCATAGCTTCTGATATGTAACCAACTTGTATTCTTGTTGAAGGCCCTTTATGTAACAGGTCTCTTAACTTTCTTGTTTTTGCTTATTTCTGGCTTTTTTCAGTTCAGTTATATGTCTTGGTGTGAATTCCTCTAAGTTTAACACCCATTTTGGAGGTTTCTGGACTTTATAGATTCTTGTTGTTCGCTAACAGCTAAGCAATTGGCAGCTGTTCCTTCTCTCCCACTTCTTGTTGGCTCAGAGTCTCAGGGTTAGCCAGGAGGAGGACTTAGAGCCTTCTTGGGGTTCTCCTGGGCATTTTCACAGTGATGGGCTTTTTAGAGTGCTCACTCTCTGGCCTTTATTCCCCAGCTTTTTTATTAGTGTATTTCCCCAACTGTTTCAGTGAGCAAAAAGTAAATCACTTGACTCTGTTTTCAGTGTTTTTTTTTCCCCAAGTAATGGCCTTACATTATTAGCCTTTGTGCCATCTCCTTTGGGGGCTTTTTTTCCCTGTACTAGAAAAGAGTCTCACTAAGTTGCTCAGGCTGGCATTGAACTTGTGATAGTCCTCCCTCATCCTCTCCAGTAGCTTGGACTATATAGGTCTGTACAACCAGGCCCTGCTTGGGGTTCTCTCTGGCCTTCTTTCTATGTTCTGCCCTGGCACACACCTGCCACATGTATATTAGATTCTTGGGAGTTACTTCCTTCTTATTGAGCTGTAAGAGGATCCTCCATCCTAAAATTTATTATAGTATTTACCCTAATCACCACTGTCACTGTAGCTCTCACTCCAGTCCATATAATTACTATTAGTAAATTGTTCATAATCCATGCCATCATTACTGCAATAATGATCATTAATAGCCTTAACAATATGCCCGCTCACTGGTGAGTAGGGTTAGGGTTACTGCAAATCCTGGCAACCTGAGTTTGATACCCAGAATCCACAAGATAGAGAACCAAGTCTTGAAAGTTGTCCTTTGACTTCCACACATATGTTAAGGGCATGCATGTGCATTGTGTACATACATATACACAGAAGAAATATGTGGGGCCAGAGAGATGGCTCAGTGGTTAAGACCACTGGATGCTTTTCCAGAGGATCCGGGTTCAATTCCCAGCACCCACATGGCAGGTCACAACCATCTGTTACACCAGTTCCAGGGGAGCCAACAACCTCATCTGATCTCCACAGGCATTAGGCATGCACATGGTGCACATAAAAACATGCAGTCAAAACATTCATACACATAAAATAAAAATAAACAAATCTTTAAAACAGAAATACATGTTAAAAACAAAGAAGCAAAGAACTTAAAATTGGGCAGAAATACCTCATTGGTACTCAATAATTAATCAGGGCTGTGGAAGCGGATGCTATTACACAGTGTGTCCCTCAAAGCTGGGCAGCTTGGGCTGTAACAGCTGTTTCTTCCTCTAAAGCAGTGGTTCTCAACCTGTGGGTCGTGACCCCTTTAGGGATCACATATCAGATATCCTGCATATCAAATATTTACAATTCATAATAATAGCAAAATTACAGTTATGAAGTAGCAATGAGATAATTTTATGGTTGGAGGTCACCACAACATGAGAAACTGTATTAAAGGGTCAAAGCATTAGAAAGATTGAGAACCACTGCTGTAAAAGCCTTAGAGCCGTTGTGTGTTGGCTAGCTTTGTTACTGTGTGCATATATTGGTATCTGATTAAAACAATTCACCATCAAAACCAGAGCAACTCCTGGGCTTTGAGGTGGCAGACACTCAGCCTGGCCTGAGCCTTGACACTGTGATGGTCAGTGTGACTCAGCTAGAGACCCCTAAGCTTCTGGCCTCCCCCTTAGTGGCTCCCTGATCAGTGTTTCTGGGTCATGTTAGAAGTTGGATCCCAAGCTCCAAGCCCCTTGAGGACCAAGTGGGAGTGGTCCCCTTACCACCTGGTTATGCCCAGTGAGAGCCTGAACAGAACAGGGAGGCCAGGGGCTCTGGTAGGAAGAAAGGGGGGAGTCTCATGTAGACAGTTCTGAACTCACTTTGCTGTTTGTGTTTCTTTTTCTGTATAGCCACCAGGATTGATGAAGTAACACAGAAGTACAAGATCCTCACTGACACATTGCACAGAGAAACAAGATAATGTGGGATAGAAGACCCTCCCTGGATCTGTCAGGAGGGGTAGTTCCAGTCCTGCTCATGGCCTGCATGGATTCTTCTTGATTGGTGTCTACATTTTGGAGGAAAGGAGGAAGAAGGAGGTAGATTAGGCAGGCAGAGATGCGTAGGACAGGGGAGCTGGAAATAAAAGAAACCTCATACTGTGAGAAGTTGCCTCCGAACTACCATTTGTTTCTAATTATCACACTCTTCCCTTCTGGCCTGAGACGCTCAGCCTCTTGTCCTCATCCCTGCTATTCTATGTTAGCCTGATGTTAGCCTTCTACTACCCCAGTGGGCCTTGACCTTTCACTCTTTGCTGCCTCCATTCCATTCTGATACTGCCTGGTTAGTTTGACCATGCCTAGCCCTGGAGGTCTTCACTGCACCTTCACATGACACTTCTCCCTAACCCTGTGCCCTTCACCTCCTGTCCTGTCTCAGGGTCCCACTGAGGCCCTCTTTGCCATGACCTAAGGAATTCTCACTATGGCCTGACTGGTTGTCTAGGAAATTGCTCCCTGGGCTTCCCACAGTGACCCAGAATCTTTTTAAGTGTGTACCTGTCACAGGCACCTCCTACCCTTCGAGCACCGGAACAGGCACAACTTGGTGAGGCCATTATGACACCTGTGGCTGCCTGCCCCACCCTGCTCCTGTAACTGCACCTTTGCTCCCCCAGGCTTCCTGAGTACTTTTGGACAGCTGGGTGCCAGGCCCTTCCTGCTCAGACACTCCTGGGAGAGGTTGATGGGTAAGTTGTTCTCTGAACCAACTTTGTGGGCAGGCTCAGGAGTGCCTGCAGTAGGTAGCTACAACATTGACCACAACCTTAGAAGGCCAGGCCTATAGTGTTGGATACCTAGCTCTGGAATGAAATCTTCAGGAGAGGCCATTGCCTTCTCTCCTTCAAGCTACTCTCACATCTTGATAGTACACCTCACCTGCAGTCAGGTGAGTCACAAAAGCCTTTAGAGCAGCGTTTCCCCATCTGTGCATCAAGACCCCATTAGGGGTTGAACAACCCTTTTTATGAGGGTTACATATGAGATATCCTACATATCATATCATATCTTTTTTTTTCTTTTTTTTTTTTTGAGACAGGGTTTCTCTGTGTAGTTTCTCCTGGCACTTGCTCTGGAGACCAGGCTGGCCTCAAACTCACAGAGATCTGCCTGCCTCTGCTTCCCGAGTGCTGGGATTAAAGGTGTGTGCCACCAACGCCCAGCCGTATCATATCTTTAAATTATGATTCATAACAGTAGCAAAATTGCAGTTATGAAGTAGCAACAAAATAATTTTATGGTATAGGGGTTACCACAATATGAGCAGCCATATTAAAGGGTCACAGCACCAGGAAGGTTGAGAACTACTGCCTTAGAGTCTTAGAAGTCTCCAAGTTACTTCTTTCCATTTCTGAATTGAAAGAATTGGCTCAGCTATACCTATAGGAAAGTTTGGGTCAGGCCTTACTGCCTCATGGCCTTTGTTTGCCTGACTTTCCTCCCTGCTCTACTAAATAAATGTGTGTAACATATTAGGTATCAAACCTCTCAGTGTCTAACCTTTGGGTGTCATGCCCTACAGCAGAGATCACCATCCTGCTTTGTGCTGGAAGATGGGGCCACAAGGTGGGTAAGCTGCAACCAGACAGTATCTACATTGGAGATGTCCCTGAGGCCACCCCGTTTACTGAAGCAAGACCAAGGCCGTGCTTTCGGCATGACTTCCTATTCACAGGCTAAACATGACACAAGTAGATGCCTCTGTCACTCCTGAGATCATGACAAACTAATGAAGGGCAGGCATATGTTGCTAGAGTTTTCTTGTCCTGCCATGTCCCGCTGCCACTTTAGCCCCAAATAAGCAAACAGACTCAATATTAATTATAAAACTGTTGGCTGATGGCTAGAGCTTCTTATTGGCTAGCTCTGTCTTAAATATTAACCCATTTCTATCAGTCTATGTATTTCCATGTGGTCCTGGCTTACTGGAGAATGTCTGGACCTGTTACTCCTTTGGCCACTACATGGCATCTCTTCTACACCTCTCTGCCTATCTTTCCCAGAATTCTTCTCATCTCCTAGTTCTGTCTATCTTCCTGCCTCTATTGGCTAAACAGTGTTTTATTCATCAACCAATAAAAGAAACGCATCCCCCATCAGCCATATCTCCACTGATGGAGAAAACCAAGGCCTGGAGAAGAGGACCTGTTGTCTGTGTGTAATGTGTCCCAGCATAGGACTAAGCACACACCTGGTTTGTTCAGGTCTAGCAATGACAACCCATTCCCCCTGAGACAGAGGTAGGAGTTGGCAGAAGCACAGCCTTCCACCACACTCTGACTTCCTCCTGCCTGTGAGGACATGTTCATCTGGTCCATGACAGTGCTCATCATTCATCAGAACCTGTGTGCAGCCAGAGCCTGCTTCCCAGTCTGTAAACATGGGGTGTGTGTCCTGGTAGCTGCAAACTCACGAGGGGGCGGCAAGCAAGCTGGCTGCACAGGTCCTGCGGCCTCAGGACTCCTGGTTGCCCAACTGGCGGCTGGGGGCGGGCTGTGGCCTCTGATTAAAGGCTGCCTGGAGCAGCCTGTGCAGAGACAGGTGGCCAGCAGCCCAGGAAGCCAGCCGAAGCCTGCCCCAGGTAAGCCAGTGTGGTGGAGTTGGGTGGGCAGTACCATGAGCCTGAAGGCAGGTAGAAGCCAACCTGAGGCAGCACTTGTTTGGTAGAGGACCCTGGGGAGACCAGGATCCCCATGCCAGATTGCTCTGGTGCTTGCTCCTCAAAGGTAGAAAGCAGGGCCTAATGCCTGAGGCTCCCAGCCAAGGTGTTTCCAGCAAGAGGCTGGATCAAGGCTCCATTTGGGGACTATACCTGCCTCCCTCCTTCATGAGGACTAGTGGCTAGCTGTGGGCCTGTCAGCAAAAGGGAGAGAGGTCTGGGCTAAAGTCTAGGCACAGCAGGCCTTTCTTTTGTGCCTGGTTAGATGGCAGGACTAAGGTTAGCTGCAGAGAGGCCTGGGAAAAGGAGGAGGAGGGATATACAGCAGTAACAGATCTTGGTCACTTGATCTCAGCCCCATGGAGGCCCCTTAAAAATGTTCCTAGAAACTATGCCTAGCACCAAAGGCCTAATGAGGTGGGGTGGAGCAGTAGGAAGTGAGGCTTTGAGTGACAGAGATTTGACCTGAGGGGCTGTGGGCAACAGGGCCTTGCTTCCGTTTCTTTAGCACTCTGGCTTATGTCACTTTTTCTGGCAGCTTTAGGCCCCACTGTTCCTGTGAGACCATCAGCATGTCTGAGCCACCTCGGGCTGAGACCTTTGTATTCCTGGACCTGGAAGCCACTGGGCTCCCAAACATGGATCCTGAGATTGCGGAGATATCCCTTTTTGCTGTCCACCGTTCTTCCCTGGAGAACCCAGAGCGGGACAATTCTGGTGCTCTGGTGTTGCCCCGTGTGCTGGACAAGCTCACACTGTGCATGTGCCCTGAGCGCCCCTTTACTGCCAAGGCCAGTGAGATTACTGGTTTGAGCAGTGAAGGCCTGATGCACTGCCGGAAGGCTGGTTTCAATGGTGCTGTGGTGCGGACACTGCAGGGCTTCCTAAGCCGCCAGGAGGGCCCCATCTGTCTTGTGGCTCACAATGGCTTCGATTACGACTTCCCACTGCTTTGCACAGAGCTACAACGCCTGGGTGCCCATCTGCCCCGAGACACTGTCTGCCTGGACACGCTGCCTGCGTTGCGGGGCCTGGACCGTGCTCACAGCCATGGCACCAGGGCTCAAGGCCGCAAGAGCTACAGCCTGACCAGTCTCTTCCACCGATATTTCCAGGCTGAGCCCAGTGCTGCCCATTCAGCAGAGGGTGATGTGCACACGCTGCTTCTGATCTTCCTGCACCGTGCTGCTGAGCTGCTTGCCTGGGCAGATGAGCAGGCCCGTAGCTGGGCTCACATTGAGCCCATGTATGTGCCACCTGATGGGCCAAGCCTTGAGGCCTGAATGCCAGTGTCATTCATTCATCCAGGCTCTGAGACATGTTTTTGCTCTCTGCAGCACCTGCCTGGCCTTCCTCAGCCCTGGCCTACCTGAATATAGGATCCCAGAGCCTTCTCTGTTCCCCACCTCCAGTTGGACACCCTCTGGCCAGCCTGAGCTCCTACAGGTTGCTTCTTCAGGGCTTCCAACTTTCGTTCCATTTCTCAATAAATATCACTGACTACCGACTGACTTACTGGCCAAACTTCTCTCTGCCCATACCCGAAATAACCACACCAAGGCACAGATGGGGGCTATGCTGGCCTGACTCTGTGAATTTGTAGAGGGGAAGATGTCAGTATGCAAGATTCTCCAAGGGGCTTATGCTAGGTTGGGTGCTGGACCCTGAGTCCTTGGCTATTTCTCTGGCATGTCTCACAGTCCCTTTGAGTGTTGCCCCTTTTTGTTAGGCCCTTGGGATCCTCCAGGCTGACTCCTCCAGGGACTGAACTGGAAGGGCTAACTGAGCCTGCAGAGCTAGTCCATGCCTTCTTCAAAGCCCAGCTCCAGCTCTTACCCTTGTTCTCCTCTGTCCCTGCTCTGCAAAGTAGTGCCAGTAAGGCACTGGGGAAAGCAGGTATCTCTATTCATTTGTGGACATGGCACATGGATTCCACAGGAGGAGGGGCCACCCAGGCAGACTAGGGTGCCAAGCTGAGCTGAGGCATAGAGGAGAGATGAATTGGCACATATGGTGCCACCCAGAATGGAATTCACCCAGGTCTACAATCCTTCACGGAATGATTTGGGTGGGCAACTTCTCATCAGCTGCCTCAGCTGGACTTCAGGTTTCTAGTGAGCTGCCTGTGGGGCCCCACCCTGAGTCACTCCTGTCTTGTGGGAAGTCAGACCAGGTGAGAGCTGTGTCACCAAGTGCTGGGGCAAGTAAGAAGGGGTGGGGTGGCCACACCCTAGAG